TTTTTTTTTTTTTTCGCAGTAATCAGGAAAAAAGAACCAAGCTCCAGTACTAGTTTAATTGTTGGGTTATGTCTTGGGGTCCTCGCGTTGGTTACTTGCGTGGTTATAGCACTGTTGCGGTATCGAAGGTCAAAACGTGGTAAAGAGGTAAACCTTAGTGACATTTACATGACATACAGGTGTCACACTAACGTTAGCAAGCATTATTGATGACCATATTTAAAAATAATTTTTACTTGAGCTTGCTTAGCAGCGTGACTCCGGAGACCATGGAAACTGGGGATAAGGATCGTGACTTGTCAGAGCGCCAAGCATCCTTGTGAAGAAAGTTTAGGAAAGATTAACGCGAAAGATGTGACCTGGGTGCAACGCCATAACCCACTTTAATTATACCCAAAAAATAAAACACTAAAGCAAATGAAATAAAACTAAGAGCTACATGTAAGTGTGCCAGGGTGGCCAGAAATAAACCTGTCCCAAAAAACGTAAATAACGTGAATAAAGAAACACTTACACTAGAATGAAAGTACAATATACTATACCGTACTCCTGAGATTGAGCTTGGACAATTCTACGAACTAACGGAAACGCAGAGAAGGACTGAGGCGACAACTTAATAAACACTAGGTCACAGCTACGGGACAAGGCCTCAGAGTTCAAAATAGATCTACTTTGCGCATGCACGGACACATAAATCGACATAAAACTATTACATGTATGTATCTTAGATGGAAAACATTGCAATTTAGAGGCAAAATCTGCAGAAATCACAGAAAGCAGCTACTTAGGCTGAACAGGGCGCGCAAGTCTAGCTTCTTTTGGCGTCCTCTAATTTAAAGGGAAACTCAAGCAAGGCGCGGCTAACAGAACAAACTTAAATATCAGCCACTGCATGGCCCCAATTTATACTGTAAACAGCAGATTCTAAATAAGATGCGCCAGTGTTATCCACAGAACGCTAAACTAACTTAGATACAATGAGACATACAAAGGTTTCTCGAATAGCAGAAACACCAGTCTTCGATAGAGCCCACTCACGCCACCACAATAAGCCAGACCCGTACCTTCAAGACTGTGGATGGAGCGTTAGCATCCAACTGCAAACCAGACAGGCCTGGAACTGTATCCCTCACAGAAGAATCACTTAAGGGGGCTGTTTCAAGCCATAACCTGGAATTTATAGGGCAGTCTCGGACAAAGGCATCGGACACACCTACAACGAGGAGAAGCAAACTAGGAGTCAAAACGTGGAAGCTGAACGCTCTATAACAGGATGTGAAACGGTTAAGATTCGTGCGAGGACCCCATTTGGCTTCAACGACTCGAAACACATAGGGATTAACTGGCGAATCATCCCTGTCAAAGAAACGGCGCAAAAGATCAGCCTTCCCGTTGAGCGATCTAGGAATCCACTGCGCTTCCAAGGCAATACCATGCGAAAACAAACATGAAAAGCGCTCAGAGCCACCGACTGTATGGACCTTAAAGACATCAAAGGAAAGTACTCTGGCAGCACTCTGGTTGTCAGAGAAAATTTTCACCCTCCTTTACTTTAACCGCTCTACAAAAGAAAGCAAAGCATAATATTAAATAATAATAATAATAATAATAATAATAATGTTTATTTCTTATATTGTGCAGTCTAGCATGCGATAAAGATA